CGCATCACCGATGCTCAGATCCGCGAGCGCATCATGCTTGACGCGGTGCGCGACTCAATGACGGATGAGCGCCCTTGCTACTAAAAAGGAGGTACCGAGAATTTCTTGAACGAGTGCACGATCAATTGTAACATAAGACCTTTGGTCTTTGGAAGGGCGTATGTAGCGCCACCATCGGACCTTCGCCCCGACAGAGACTCTCTTGACGAACGTGCACTCGAGTCGTGATAAAACCCCCACCGAAAGACACGTATTACGCCCTATAAAATATGACTGACACGTAGGGCCTCCGTAGTATATAAGTAGAGTACAAACGATCATGTACTCTAGCTTTCTCCTGCGCACTCAACGAGACTTACCCCGGTCTATTGTGTGAACTCTGAGGAACTCTAACCGTGTGACTACACTTCGCTTACAAAGCTTACCCGTCGTCACAGTAACCCTAACCCCAGTTCGGGTCTTCCCAGTCCGCAACCTCAGTTCAGCCAACGACGACCGCAACGTCGGACACAGCTGGCCAACATGTCCGTCGCTCTCCAGAGGCCGCTGCGCGGATCGCGTATATCAACGTTTTACCCGGTCAAGAGCCTTCCCTCTCTGGCGTCTCTGGACAGCGCATTTCAGCTCCAGGAGTACATCTCGCTCCTCATCCGCCTCGACCCTCACGACGTCGACCATATCGTCGCTATACCCAAGGGCAAGGAAAAAGACGAATCGGACAAAGACAAATCACAGAGCGACGTTACAGTGGACGAAGCATGCTGGATATATGAGCAATTACGGTGAGGGAGACCATATTCACTGCAGTCTATTTCTGACGCTGACGCGCACACGTACAGACGGCTCGCGCAAGACCTCTCGCACCCGCTCATCACGGTTTTGCAGCAGGAATGCACCCGCGCGACATGCCCAGAAATGAAAGCAGGGGAATGGCTCTACCTCTGCGTTGCTCACGGCAACGAAAACAACATGGAGGTCAGTACCGTGGCGCATATACGCAACATCCCGTCCTTCTTCCAGCACGCAGAACCCGACTCTGACTCATGTTGTCTTCAGCAATGCTGCGCGATCGACTACATCATCCACACTCTCGACTCCGCCACCGCCCTTCTCAATTCGCCGCGCGCCTTCCCCTCGCGCCTCTCGATCCCGCAGACCTCCTACCGCCACTTCTCCTCCCTCGCCCGCCGCCTCGGCCGCATCTTCGCCCACGCCTACTTCCACCACCGCGACGCGTTCGAACAGGCCGAAGCCGAGTCGTCGCTCTACGCCCGTTTCCTCGCCCTCACCTCCCGCTTCGACCTCGTCCCGCAGGAATTCCTTGTCATCCCGCCCAGAGCCGCCGACGACGACGAACGCGGTGCGCGATACCCCATCCCGAACACCTTCGAGCATACAACCTGACATTCTTTTTACGTAGAAGAACCCTCCGCGCGCCGCACGGCCGACGTCGAGCCGCCGCGCATACACGCCGCTGCCGCGCTCGACCCCGCTCACGAGCGCGAGATCGAGCGTCAGCGGAGCGTCGAGCACGGCAGCCCGCGGAAGACGGGCCGGAGCCGGACGGACACGATGGTCTTCAGCGAGGCCTACAACGTCGTGGAGGAGATGGCGCGCACGTTGTCCGACGAGGCGCACCCCGAGCAACCCGTGGAGGAGGAACCCGCAGCTGTCAGCGCGGAGCCGGAGCATGTGGATGAGCCTGAGGGCCCAGCGGAGGAGGAGCCGGCGCCGACGGTCCCTGAAGTTCAAGAAGAGCATGCAGCTCCTGTTCCGGAGAGCGAGCCCGAGCCCGAGCCCGAGCCCGAGCCCGCCAGCGAGGAGGTGCAAGCGGAGACGGCGCCGACTGAGGAAGTCGCGGAGGAGGTCGAAGCTCCCGCGGAGGCCTCTTCGGAGGCTGAAACGACTGAAGATCCGTTCGGCGATGGCGCCGCCGCTCCTGAGGACGGTGGCGAAGGCCAGGAAGAAGTTTCGGAAGAAGCTGAGAAAGAACCGCCGTCCTCCACTGAAGAGGCATCCGTCTCACAGACCGAGTCGAAGCCGGATGAAGCCCATGTTGATGCGGAGCAGCGTGAAGAAGCTGCGGAGGAGGTTACTGAACCAGTTGCCGGCGGGGAGTCTGCAGCACTCGAGGCGGGCAAGGAGGAGGCGGCGGAAGAGAAGGCTGATAAGACTGCGCAAACACCGGAGGAGGATGACGAGAAACCGATCGAGAAGGTGGAGGGCCCAGCGAGCGTCGCATGATGTGTTGTTATACTACCCGTTGGATTTTCTTTCACTGGCGATCACTTTGCATGTTCGTCGTACGTGCGACAGTGAGGAGGGTCATAGGCCTAAGGCCCGCGCGTGAGAACGGCGTGATAATCGCTCCATATTCTCTATCGCCATCTCTGCTTTATCTCTGCTTGTGTACTCAACTGAAGAACACGGATTTCATCTCGTCCCCCTACGCCTTCTGTATCGTGCATCCGCGTAGAGCAGCCAAACCTAGCACTTGATACGATTCATCAAGCCATCGGTTTACGTATGGGGAACCATTACAGCGCGAAGCAGTGAGCTCAACAATCTTACCCTTCTGTCGGTATCGGATTGACCATGGGGAGATTTCAGTGCTCATTGCTGGAATATATGCTGCTCTGCGCTAGTCATCAATCCTGACGATCCCGGTGCCATGCCTGCCACTGTTCCTACTGCTTCGCGCGAGAAAGTCAAGTTGCTAGCGCACGACCTTCGGCGCATTCGTCTCGAGTTGGCACAGATCTTACGGGACTGCAACGTCGACATTCCAGTTTCGCGCCTCCCAATAGAGATCTTGTCCGAAATATTCTCCTATGTGCCGTCCGATCCTAGAACTTTCCGTGATCACTACCGCTCGCCCAGAATCCCGCCAGTGGCCCACGTGTGCAGCGCGTGGCGACGTGCCGCGCTGGCCACCCCATCTTTGTGGAACGTCCTTGACTTATCGGAACCGGATTGATCTCGCGTCGATAGCAGTGAACCTCTGCGCATCCTGCGCAATCTTTCTTCGAGGCTGGCGGCGGTCCAACCGACGGTTTTGCATATCGACTTGGATGAACTCTCCGCCCCTCCCACGTTCTGGTCTGCCATGTTTACTGGGCAACACAAGGTCGAGACACTGATCGTACACGGAACCGCGGAGAGTGTAGACGTCCTTTTCGCGATCGCCAATGGTACTCCAACGGCTCGGAATCCTAATTAGTTGGCTATGCTCCCGAAGTTATCTTCGTTGATCATCTATGGTCAGGGGCTTGAAGCTCTCTCCATCAACCGAAGCTCCTTTGAGAATGTCCTCGTCCAGTGTCTGAAGCTCGTGAAGGCGCGCAACCCCCCCTGGAAGAGGATCAAAGAATTTAAAATGAGAACAACAACGCACGGTGATGGCAATCCAAACGCCTGCGTGGCCATCGACTTGTTGGAATTCCGAAGGTGCTTTCTGCAGGGTTGTTCCGAGCAGATAAAGTTGCTTCGGAAGAAAGTGCGGGTCATTGTGGAAGACGTCGACTTAATATACGACCTTTGAACTCCTGCGTTGTACTCGCGCTGAAATGTAATTCATCCGACTTTCTCCGATTATAAACGTCGAACATTGAGCTATTCAGCGCCACAAATCAAGCACACGCAGATACATATCACACCTGCCAGGATGTCCTGTTGCACTTCGGGAGCTAGTAGTAGTTGACGTCAATCGATTCGAATCGATTCGCCAGCAGGCCTTGGATGAGGAGAGGCAACCGTGGGAAATCCAATATAAGCGTTTGTCATCTGGCCCATGGAACTTTGTGGGCGCTAGTTAGCCCTTCGCCTCACTCGTCGTCACTCACAGCGACGACGACCGACCGCATCTCTCATCCAAACACCATGGCCGGTCGACAGGGCAAGCCGGATCTCTCTGGTTACAACTATGGCGCCATCTCCTCACTCGTCCTTACCGCCGACCGCTCGGCGCTGCCGCGGCGCGACAAGGAGCCCGACGGTGCACCCACTTCGCTGGCGGGCCGCATCGACGTGAAGGAAATGGGGTCGAGGGTGCAGCGCGCGGCGCCAAAGGACTTGGACAAGAAGAAGAAAAAGGCGGCCGAGCGCCAGGACGCCACCGAAAAGGAGCTGGCGAAGCGCAAGCAACAGCAGAACGCCGGTTTTGGATACGCGGACATCATCGAGGCGACGCAGGACCTTGAGGGTCTCACGTACAGACCACGCACGGCGGAGACGCGCGAGACGTACGAGCTCATTTTGGCCTCCGTGCACCGCGCGCTCGGCGACCAGTCGCAGGACGTGGTCAGGAGTGCGGCTGACGCGGTCCTGGAGACGCTCAAAAGCGAAAATCTGAAGGACTTCGACAAGCACAAGGAGATACAGGAAGTTTTGGGGCCACTGCCGAGGGCGCGATTTGACGAGCTGCTCAACCTCTCGAAGAAGATCACCGATTATGGTGCGGAGGACGAGACGATGGCGGACCCGGATACGGAGAGGAAGGACGCTGAGATTGACGAGGAGATGGGTGTGGCGGTAGTGTTTGACGAGGAGGAGCAGGAAGAGGAGGAAGAGGAGGGCTTCGAGATACGGGACGAGTCAGACGATGACGAGGAGGAGGAGGCCAACGATGAGGATGCGCCCGCGGAGTCCCTTGAAGCGGGCGAAGAAGAGCTCGTCGTCGGTGGGCAGCCGCCGACCAAGGCCTCCGCCGACAAGGACATCGTTTCCCCCCACTCCATAGACGCCTTCTGGGTGCAGCGTCAAATCTCCGAAGTCTACCCCGATCCCGCTACTGCCGCAGAAAAAGCGACCTCCGTGCTCTCCATTCTTGGCTCCGAATCGTCCCTCCGCGACTGCGAAAACCAGCTCATGGAGCTTTTCGATTACCAGTCGTTCCACATCATCACAAAGTTCCTCAAAAACCGCGACGTCATCGTCTGGTGTACGAAGCTCATGCGGTCCGACGCCGACGAGCGCGTCAATCTGGAGGTCGCGATGCGCGAGAAGGGCGTGGGCTGGATCTTGAGAGAACTTGCGGGCGACAGGCAGACGAAGAGGAAGGCCGACGACGCGATGGACGTGGACGATGCGAGGAGGAAGGACGTGCCGAAGACAGCGACGCTCGCGGCAGGGTCGATTGTGCAGCCGAAGCGCATGGTCGACCTCGAGAGCATGGCGTTCGCTCAGGGTGGCCACCTTATGTCGAACAAGAAGTGCAAGCTGCCGGAAGGCTCGTTCAAGCGCGCGAAGAAGGGTTACGAGGAGATTCACGTCCCGGCCCCGAAGAAGAAGGTGACGGACGCCAAGGACATCGTGCAGGTCGCGGACATGCCAGAGTGGACGCGTCCTGCCTTCCCGGCCCCGGCATACAAGACGCTCAACCCTGTTCAGAGCAAGGTGTACCCCATCGCTTTCGGCACCGATGAGCCCATCCTGCTATGTGCTCCTACTGGCGCTGGCAAGGTCAGTCTTGGTATCGCATTTATCGATCACAAGGCTTACGTCCGGCTTCTTAGACTAATGTCGCAGTGCTTACGATCCTCAACGAGATGGCGAAGTACCGCGATGAGGCCACTGGTCAGTTCGACCTCGACGCCTTCAAGATCGTCTACGTCGCGCCTATGAAGGCCCTCGTGCAGGAGCAAGTCGGCCAGTTCCAAAAGCGTCTCGGCGATTTCGGCATCAAGGTTGGCGAACTCACGGGTGACTCGCAGATGACGAAACAACAGATCGCGGAAACGCAGATCATCGTCACGACTCCGGAGAAATGGGACGTGATCACGCGAAAGAGCACGGACACGAGCTACACGAACCTCGTTCGGCTTATCATCATCGACGAGATCCATCTTCTGCACGATGAACGTGGACCGGTGCTTGAGAGCATCGTCGCGAGGACCGTGAGGCGGATGGAGCAGACGGGCGAGTATGTTCGGCTTGTTGGTCTGTCAGCGACTCTGCCAAACTACCAGGACGTCGCGACGTTCCTTCGCGTGGACGAAAAGAAGGGCTTGTTCTACTTCGACGCATCGTCGCGTCCTTGTCCGCTGCAGCAGCAGTTCGTTGGTGTAACGGAGAAGAAGGCGATCAAGCGGTATCAGGTCATGAACGAAGTCTGCTACGAGAAGGTTCTGGATCACGCAGGCAAGAACCAAGTTATCGTCTTCGTCCACTCCCGGAAGGAAACGGCGAAGACCGCCAAGTTCATCCGGGACATGGCGATCGAAAAGGAGACTATCACGCAGTTCGTCAAGCCCGACTCGGCGACTCGGGAGATCCTGAATGATGAAGCCAACAACGCGATGGACGCGAACCTCAAGGATCTTCTACCGTTCGGATTCGCGATACATCATGCCGGAATGACGCGCCAGGACCGTACCGCCGTAGAAGACCTCTTTGGCGACAATCACATCCAGGTGCTTGTCTGTACCGCGACGCTCGCGTGGGGCGTCAACCTCCCTGCCCACGCCGTCATCATCAAGGGAACGCAGATCTACAACCCCGAGAAAGGTCGATGGGTCGAGCTTTCGCACCAGGACGTGCTGCAGATGCTTGGTCGTGCCGGTCGTCCGCAGTACGACACCTTCGGCGAGGGCGTGATCATCACAAATCACAGCGAGCTTCAGTACTACCTGAGCTTGATGAATCAGCAGCTGCCCATTGAATCGCAATTCGTGTCGAAACTGGCCGACAACCTCAACGCCGAAATCGTACTGGGTACTATCCGAAACCGTGACGAGGCCGTTCAGTGGCTCGGCTACACTTATCTGTACGTTCACATCCCTTACCTCTGGCTCCTGCGCTTACTCTTTCATGCGATAGGTATGTTCGCATGCTCAAGTCCCCCGCGCTCTACAGCGTTGGCGTTGACTATCAAGAAGATGACGGGGGTCTCGTGCAAAAACGTGCCGATATCATCCACACCGCTGCCGCGCTTCTCGAGAAATGCAGTTTGATCAAGTACGAGCGCGCATCGGGCAGATTTCAAAGCACTGAACTTGGCAAGATCGCGTCGCACTACTACGTCACATACAACTCGATGGCGACGTATAACAAGCACATGAAGCCTACTATGTCCACAATTGAGCTCTTCCGAGTCTTCGCGCTCTCCAACGAATTCAAGTACATCCCCGTTCGTCAAGAGGAGAAGTTGGAGCTGGGCAAGTTGCTTGAGCGTGTACCCATTCCTGTTAAAGAGAGCGTGGAGGAACCGGCAGCTAAGATCAACGTTCTCCTCCAAGCGTACATCTCGCAACTCAAGTTGGAAGGCTTCGCTCTTGTCGCCGACATGGTCTTCATCCAGCAGTCGGCCGGCCGTATCCTGCACGCCATGTTCGAGATCTGTCTCAAGCGTGGCTGGGCAGTTCCCGCGAAAGCTGCCTTGGACTTGACCAAAATGGTGGAACGTCGCCTGTGGGGTTCGATGACTCCTCTGCGGCAGTTCAAGGGCGTTCCTGCACAGATCATCCGCAAGGCCGAGGCGAAGCAGTTCCCGTGGTACCGTTACTTTGACCTTAGCCCTCCGGAACTTGGCGAACTCATCGGACAGCCGAACGCGGGCAATCTCGTTCACCGGCTCGTCCACAGCTTCCCCAAGCTTCAGCTCTCTGCGCAGGTGCAGCCGATCACGCGTTCTCTGCTGAGCATGGAGCTATCGATTACCCCCGATTTCCGATGGGATGACCAAATTCACGGTGCTGCCGAGTCGTTCTGGATCATTGTCGAGGACGTCGATGGAGAAGTTATCCTTTTCCACGATCAATGGGTTCTCCGTCGTCGCTACGCCGAGGACGAGCACATCGTCAACTTGACTGTGCCCATGTTCGAACCGGTACCGCCTAATTATTACATCTCCGTCATCTCGGAACGCTGGTTACACTCTGAGACCAGGTTCCCGATCTCGTTCAAACACCTCATCCTCCCCGAGAAGTTCCCTCCTCCGACCCCTCTTCTCGACCTTCAGCCACTCCCGCTCTCTGCGCTCCACAACCGGGAGTTTGAGAGTATATATTCGTCCACTATCCAAACCTTCAACAAGATCCAGACGCAGGTCTTCCAAGCTCTTTACACGACGGACGAGAACGTCTTCATCGGCGCGCCAACCGGTAGCGGCAAGACCATCTGCGCGGAGTTCGCTCTTCTTCGCTTATGGAGCAAGAAGGACCACTCTCGAGCCGTTTGCATCGTGCCATACCATGATATGATTGAACACCGCGTTGCGGAGTGGCGTCAGAAGTTCGGAGGTGTTCAGGGTGGAAAGGAAATCGTCGCTCTTACGGGCGAGACGAGCGCTGATCTGCGTCACCTTGAGAAGGGTGACGTCATCGTCTGCACTCCTACGCAGGTATGTAACCTTGCCCTCTAGCGTACGAGTATAGCGACTAACAGCCGTGATTTCAGTGGGATGTCATCTCTAGACGATGGCGGCAGCGAAAGAACGTCCAGACAGTGGGGTTGGTCATCGCAGACGAGATACAGACTCTCGGTGGATTCAACGGCCAGACGTACGAAGTGATTATCTCGCGCACGCGTTACGTATCGGCCCAGACGGAGATCAAGACTCGCATCGTCGCTTGCGCCGTGTCCATGGCAAATGCGCGTGACCTGGGTGAATGGATAGGAGCGCCATCGCATGCCATCTTCAATTTCCCTCCGAGGTGAGCTGCATCATCTCCCGCATGTCGCTCACCCGCTTACATCTCGTTGCCTAGTGCCCGCCCTCTCGACATGGACATCCACCTACAGAGCTTCTCCATCCCCCACTTCCCCTCCTTGATGATCGCCATGTCTAAGCCCGCTTACCTCGCGATCGCGGAGTATGCACCCACGAAGCCAGTCATTATATTTGTGCCATCTCGTCGCCAGTGCCGCTTGACGGCTGATGACCTTCTGACTCACTGCGGTGCTGACGATGACCCAAATCGTTTCCTCAACATCGAACTTGCTGATCTCCAACCGCATTTGGATCACGTTACCGACCAGGGATTGGTGGAGACCCTAAAGCACGGGATTGGCTACTACCACGAGGCTCTCACCAGGCAAGACAAGCGTATTGTAGAGCGTCTGTTCCAGTCCGGTGCTATCCAGGTTCTCATTGCGTCGAAGGTCAGTTGTATGATTCGTTATATGTCTCACGACAATCCTCATCCAACAACTTGTACAGGATTCAGCATGGAGCCTCCCCGTTTCGAGCTACATGGTCATCATCATGGGCGTCCAATACTACGAGGGAAAAGAGCACCGCTACGTTGATTACCAGGTGATGGACGTATTGCAAATGATGGGACGCGCCTGCCGGCCTCTGGAGGATGAGCGAAGTCGGTGCGTCTTGATGTGTCAGCAGACACGGAAGGACTACTTCAAGAAGTTCCTTGCGGAGGGCTTGCCCATTGAATCTCATCTTTCGAGCAACTTGCATGATTACTTCCTCGCCGAGATTGCGGTGAAGACGATTGAGAACAAGCAAGATGCAATGGTACGTGTTCATACAAATCCATCGGCGGCATTTCTGTAACGATCTGTTCGCAGGATATCCTCACGTGGACATACTTCTACCGACGGCTGACCCAGAATCCCAACTATTACAATCTCCACAATGTTTCCCATCAACACCTATCCGACCACCTCTCAGAGCTCGTGGAGAACACGCTCAACGATCTGGTGAACTCGAAGTGCATCGCCATTGGTTCGTCTTTTTCGCATTTTTCCCTGTTAGGTCTTGCTAACAGCCACGTGCAGAGGATGAGATGGACGTGTCAGCACTCAACCTTGGTATGATTGCGGCATACTACAACATTTCATGTGAGTTCCGTTTGCTTGTGCCGTATGCGCGGCGCTCATCTTGGCGCAGATGTTACCGTCGAGGTGTACACGTTATCCCTGAAGGAACGGACGAAACTCAAGGGTCTCTTGGAGGTCGTTTCGTCATCCGCGGAGTTCGAGTCCGTACCCATCCGTCGCCACGAAGACGTTCTTCTGCGGCGAATCTACGACCGTGTACCCGTCAAGTTGGACAAGCCTGATTACGATGCACCGCACTTCAAAACCTTCCTCTTGTTGCAGGCACATTTCTCGCGTATCCAGCTTCCTCCAGACTTGGCCGCCGATCAAGCACTTGTCCTCGAGAAGGTCCTCACGCTATTATCCGCCTGCGTCGACGTCCTCTCGTCCAACGGGTGGTTAAACGCCCTCAGTGCTATGGACTTGTCGCAGATGTGCGTGCAAGCAATGTGGGAGACAGAGTCGCCGCTCAAGCAGATTCCTCACTTCGAACCGGATGTGAGCATCCATGCGCTGAATATAGTCTTCGCATTTCTGACTATCAATAACGCAGGTGATCCAACGTTGCAAGGACGCGGGCGCAGAGTCGGTATACGATATCATGGAAATGGAAGCAGACCAGCGAAATCAGATCCTCCAGATGGACAACGCGCGGATGAAGGATGTCGCAGCCTTCGTCAACTCTTATCCCACGCTCGAGGTCGACTACGAACTCGTCAAAGGCGAATACACGGCTGGCTCTCCGATCACGCTCAAGGTCGCTCTTTCACGCGATGCCGACGAAGACGACGACAGCGGCGACGACCAAACGGTCGTTGCGCCATTTTACCCCGGAAAGAAGATGGCCAACTGGTGGTTGGTCGTCGGCGAACCGAGCACGAGGCAGCTTTTGTCAATCAAACGTGTCACTGTGAACAAGAACCTGGCCGTGAAGCTCGAATTCACTCTGCCGCAGGGCAAGCACTCGCTCAAGCTCTTCGTCATCTGCGATTCGTACATTGGCGCGGATCACGATATACCGATGGATCCCATTGACGTTGCGGAAGGAGAAGATAGTGATAGCGACGATGACGACTCCGATAGCGATGACGACGATAAGATGAAGGAATGAACGGTTTTCTCCACTGTTGTGCGCCTCATGTAGAACATTGTATCCTTAGTAGGTTCTGATATAATAGTACATTGCTGGAAACTCGAGGCAGCTTTGATGATGGTACAGAGATCTGGATTGCATTGTTATTTCGAGATTGCGTTCATGACGAAGGAGCCTGGGTCAGGCCGGGCTTAATCGTTGCGAAGTTATTGGCTGCGAGCGTGCCATCTTTCACGGCGTTGGTGCAGTTCTTTAGCTCGGTGAACAGCGTAATTTTGTCTGACAACTGTAGCAGACGGGGATAATTTACATCGTCTCCGGGAGTGGCACATGGACATTGGAAGGAACTCACCTGATGACTGACCACCCTTCCTGAGGTGCTCGGAACCATGAAGAAGAGGGTTCGGCGGACTGCAGAGAAATCGTCAGCGTTGCTTCGGCTGATGCGGTCAGCATTTTGCAATCACCATCCCCTTCTGGACCTGCTGGGTGCACGAGCTGGTATCGTTGGATTCCATATGGGTTGTCCTGAACCGTTTTCTTCTTCCGTTTTGATGGCGACACGCTCGGCGCAGGAGGTTCCGGTACCGGCGGCGCACCATCGGGTACCGCCGGTTCGACGATCATGCGCGACAATATTTTCTCCACGATTTGCCAGATGCCCTTTCCGACAAAGCATACGAAGCGTGGCCGAAGGCGCTGCACCTTGGAGAGAAACTCCGGCACCGAGTCTACCATCTCGGCAACCGAGAGTTCCGCGGCCTATGGGGGGACATGGTTATCAGCGCGTAGCAACCCTGAACGATCACGACACTACCTCGGCCGATGGACGAACGACCAGGTTAGTCTAAAGGCTAAAGATGTGAATACGTAATGCGGATACACTGACAAAAACCCCGAGATACTGACCAGCCCGAGATTATAACGATCCGGCAGGGTCATGTCTTCCTCCGGCGGCAGCAGTTGGTCTGTAAATCCTGTGATTTCGTTCAGCGTATTGGCATAATCGTGCAGGACAAGCTGGTCGTGCCTGAGCGATGAAGACACCTCCAGAAATGATTCGTTGGGTTAGCGAAGTGATGTCCTGTCTCAGCCGACATGCATCCTGGGCTGTTCCAAACGCTCGCATTCAACCAATCTTGAACAGTGTGTTGCTCTGCTCACTTGATGCCGCAGAACATCACTAAGCGGTTCAGTCAGCGCTTAGCTAACTGCAACGGTGTAGGGCCTGTACCATCAAGATCTACCTTGAGGTAGTCGTTAAGTGGTCTCAGGTGAGCGTACGCTTCGGGAGCCGCATACGCTCGTTTAAGCTTCTTCGACGGCGAAGCCTTGTCGTCTACCAACGGGAAAATCTGCGGGGAATGTACAGCTGAACTGGCTGATGCTTTTGAGGGGGACGCTAAAGATCTTCTACGTTTAGATGGTGAAGTGCTTGCTGAGCGCAGCTTAGTTGTGCTAGTCGTAGTCGATTCAGACGCGATACTGGATACGAGTCGTAAAGAGCGTCTTGGAGACTCAGTGGGGGACACTGATCCAGAGTAAGCGAAATGGGATATGGATGACCGGAGGGCCATCCTAGTATGTTCGCCAATCGGCAGCTCTTCATTACTCTTGCGCCTAGGGTTGTTAGACATGTCGCGCGTGGTCGGAGTGAAAGCGATTGAGCGCTAAACATAAGGGCAACGGGCAATGACGTCAGTTACCTGAGCTTGCTCTGGTATCTCCCTGCCCGTAATTAGTAAGCATCGCTAACCGTGGCTGTGCTGCACATTTAATCCCCGATTTGATTCTCCGATTCAAGTAAACGGCAAACATCGTCGATTCTTCGCAGACTTTACCAAGTATAAGTATACATGGTTGTACTGCCACTAAACACAATGATATACGGTATGTCACATGCTTCCGAAGTTAGAATTAGATGAGTCAAGACTAGGAATGGCTGGCATGCATCCTGAGGTGCATTGATATCTATTTAGTTGTCAGGTATACACGTTGAGTATACTATCGCGTCGCAGATCACACAACGAAGGTGCAAGCGAAGGTGGATTGGCGGGAGACCGCCCTTTCCTCTAGTTGGAATTCCCACGCATATATCCCGCATTACTTTAGCTTGAGCAACTCAGCGAAAAATCGAGGATGCGTTGTACGGTTTCGCGTTAGATGATACCAATAAAGCACCGGGACCGCTCCCGGGATAAAACGGGAGAGAGCGAGCGAACATCGACTGTTCTGTACCAAAGTACGCTTGCGAAAAACACGTCTTTCATTCTCTCACTGCGTTGAAACCATTCTCAGAGTCCTCCACGACGCGACCCTTGAGAGAGCAAGCCGCAGGGGCGCGAGAGTGTTTCTGGCATGTCCAGGTTACCCCAGAGACTAGGGCTTGCCACCCCACGGTTCCCGCCGCCCATCTTCTGAGTATGAATCCTCGAAGCAAGTCGGCGCGCCGATTGTCGCTCCTAGGTCAGGGTGTAACAAACGACGGTGTTTCTTCGGGCGCTGTCGCATGACCGGTACCACCACGAAGTCTGGTGCCGCGACGAAACGACTCGAAATGGCCTGCGGGTGGAGAGTCTGAGCCGTTTCCAGGTAGCTGCGTAAATGTCACAGAATAGAACGTGTAGAGAGACTACTCCACGTCTTGGAAGGACCTGTGATATGCGTTATCATTCAGAGAACATGCCGATGAATAAACGCGGCGTACGAATGGGGCTCATTCTTGAACTTGCACGTCACCCAGTCCGGATCCAGGACGCGTTTCTACCACGCTGATACAATCAAGAAGCTTGAACGAGAACCTAAGACAGCAATTACGAGCGTCCGCGAACAGAAGGCTTCGCATGGGTGTATGTTTCGCTATAGCAAACAAAGGCCTGACGTCGGCGGCGGAAGATCGCATCGCACATGCGCGCACGCAGGGCTGGACGCAAACGTCAAGGAATAGCGACGGGTTCCTCGAATTCATTACGCAGGACCGAAGCCACTGCCAACGACGGCAAAGAAGCTGCGATTACGGAAGGGCGTGTCGTCAAACATCTGATGTTCTCACTAATGAGTGAATATACATAATATACAAATCGGCAGCAATACATTTACCCTGAGGTACAGCGAGAGTGACATGGAGGCTCGATTGAACTGATGGTTTAGGGAGGTCTAGGATGTATTCATGTCGTCGTCCAAGTCGCTCAGGCTGAACACCTCCTCCATGTCCACGCCGGCCAGGTCATCATATTCGCTCCCGAGCTTCGCCATTTCGGCAGCGTATTCACGGAGCTCTTCTTCCTCCAGATCATCTGGCGTTGTCTGAATGATGTCTGGCTCTGCTGCACCATGAATTTCGAATACGCCACGTCAACGAGTCATCGCTGACGTACCGCGGAGTTCAGACTCCCATTTGCTGGCGTCCTCCATGTCAGGGTCAAGGGAGGACCCTACTTCGTAGGCGTAAGATAGTCGATATTGATGCCGTTGTCTTGAGTTAAGGGAGGTCATGATTCTGTCGTACAGCTGATACCAATGGCTCAATCCAACAGCCGAAGGATCGGTAACGGGATGGGGCGCACCTGTTCGTCAGGATCTTCCTCGACCTCTTCGTCCATGTCGTGGTCCGAGTAGTCCCCGTCGCTGCTGAAGTTACTGGACGCTCTTCGGCGCTCCTGCTCGACCCGGCGCTCCCTGGCCCTGGCTGCCCGCTCGAAACATCGCTTTTTGAACCTTTCCCTAAGGAACGCCTTCTGTGTGCCCTGATCTACGGGACTTTCAAGCAGAAGAGGCGCGCGAGCGAAAGCTGAGCCTGGTGTAGCTCGAGGTCGTCCTGGGGTCGGGGTCCGCGGTCCCGGCGCGGTCGCCTTATACTGGGCGCGTCTGTAGGATGTTTTGGGTAGGGGTGGTGATGAGGTTGAGGCTAAAGGTGAAGAGTTGGTAGGTTGGAAGAATTGTCGCCTAGATGGCGTGTGTGGCTCCTGGTCAATAGCGGTCTCCATGACTGGTAACGCGCAGTCATAGGAGGTTGTTGTGGTTTGTTGACGCGTCAAGCCGCGCCTCCTGCCAAATTCTCACAGTCACGCTTTTGTTCAAAACCTATCATACACCGGCGCAGATGTTTGATTCAAGTTCATCCTCAGGAATGAAGGTATTTGGAATGTCTAATAAACGCTCGCAGAACTTGTATATCTAGCTTGGCACATTAAGTCAAGAGTTCGCAAGATTCTCGAACCTGGATATCACCACACATCTGGCTCATTTGCCCGCGGTTCACAAGCATATCACGGTCCACATGGACATTGACCACAATGTGTCTTGCCTGGGTCAATTCGAACCGTTCCCAACTGTTGCTCCCATTTGATAACGGGGATGAGGCTATGTTTACGGCAGGAACTCACAGCAACGGTGCGGGTAGCCGCCGTCGGTTTAGAAAGGCGCTAACTACGAGATGAACGTGCGAGTTACCCGTGATATCTCAACGCAACGTTCGCTGCGGTACATGCGAGCATGTTTTTACTCAGATATCTAGGCCAACAAACGCGATCATGCTCACAGAATAACACGTGCGTTAATCCACCGTGATCGATGCCGACATGCTGGACTTTTGACCGCTTTTCTGCGATGACGGCGATCTAGTTGGACCACAACCGGACACGTATTGGTGGAAATTCGAAGCTGTTATCGATTTCTGGGCACGCTTCTTCCGCATTTTACATGACATGCCCCACGTTAGTAAAGGCCACATACCTGCTTGGACTCGTTCGGCTTGGTCCCGGTGGAGCATTACAAAACTCGGCCGTAACGAGCATTCACCGGTGACTCTCTAGTCCGCCGCAAAGACTTCGCCGTCACCCTCGCTCCTGGACTTCGGTTAAAACATCCGGTGACACAATCCGGGAACCCGACTTGCACGCCATCCTTTTGTTCTTTGCTACGACGCGGCACGCTCTCACCTCTGCAAGGCACGGTGAAAGAGGGCGGCGACCGCCTAACACGTCCGGTATCGTGCGGTGGCGATATTCTCTCGGCCGTGTCTGGGCTGAGGTCTAGGTCGTTGCCAGTACTCCACGCGGTATTGGGGGTTGTGGTGATCTCTTGCTATGGACATTCCAGGGCGTAACCTGGGATACCTGGCATTTCTCTCTGGGTTTTCTTGGACGCTCTTGGGCCACGTGTATCGGCTTTCTTCGCGCGCTGTGAAGGGAGTTCCCATCTCTGTACCGCGCGTCTCATCGCAGATGTCTGCGCGGATGATGTATCACCGGTGAATTACGCGACTGCCGGCAACTTACTCCGCGGACTCGGTCACTACCTGACGCTGTTCCATGCTGTCCCAGAGTTGCTCTGCATACGCCTCACGGAACGGAGCTGGTCATATATAACGCGTGGATTGTCCACCCCACGATTTGGAATCCGCTAATATCTATCGCTGCGTTTCTGCCTGTCTTATATTCTGATGGGACGGGTCTTGAACTCAAACGACGCTGCGTATGACGGCACGGCGCCCCGCTTGCTACCTGAAATCGAGCCGATCACTATCCGGCCTATGTCTGGACGCCGTACCGGCACAGTAGCGACTAGCCTGTCGTCCTTTCCATTTCAGCCCTTTTCGAGTCCATCCGGTCAGGCCTGACCTACAAGCTGAGCAAGCACTTCTATCCGACAAAAGCCCTGTGATTCAAAGGCGACGATATCCTAAGGTGCAGACACTGTTCGAACTTCTTTAGACGGTTCATGAAAAGTCCAGTAAACGGTGCAGAGTTGCTATCTAAAGGACGCGCGGATACAAAATCCGAACCTTTCCAGGTTGATCGGTGGGCGTCGTTCATCTGGTCCATGATGACCTGTGTCCCGACGCGGCAGCTACCACGTCCTGGGTGGCGTTGAATGGGGGACCCTGACTGTTCGCATGGTGTCGCCGCATGCTTCGCGTCAGGCACATCATCCTTCAGTCAGGACAGTACGGACAGGAAGTGGCAGCTTTAGGATTCGAAAACGGTGGGCGTGTAGGCATTCGCAGTGGTCTGCGCCCTGGAGTTCACCAACGGCATCACGCTACGATAGAAGCTGGTAATAATGCAATCGCTCTAGGTCTTGCAAAAATACATATGGACAGGATATGGGTCTAAATGGGACAACTCGTAGCTGGCTCGCTACATTTTTATATTTTCCCTAGGAATCTCCCTAGGACCAGTGAGCGTGTCACGCACATGAGTGCTACTGAGAGCAAGATCATGGTACCTGGGAAATGAGTTAGCAGAGCACGCATGCCGCTGAAGTTTGCCACACACCGGCGTAAACACCGACGAATTCGAAGCCATGGGTGGCGTCACGGATATGACCGGATATCGGGATGCCGCCTAGCGCTCCTAAGGCGGTCACCGTTTGGAAAGTTCCGATCCTGCGGCCCACGGAATGCAACTCTCCCATGCCTACAATCGGAACCACACTGAGTGAGACATAGGCTCCGCTCGATATTCTATAAAAAAAGATGAGACATGGTCCAGAAGGGAGAACGTAAGTTCGTGCCGGATCACGCACCCGAATAGGACTGCAATAACAACAAACCAGGGCTGATGCTTTGCATGTGGCCAGGCGTAGGTGAGGATGCCGGCAGACGCTGTAAACGGTATAGCCACGTTCATTGCACCTAATGAAGGGCCAGTATATGAGCAAATGAACACCGCGATGCATCGGATAGGAAAAGGTTCACCGACGCGATCGGCTAGCAGGCCAGAGCCAACACGGCCGATTATGGCAGAGGCGTTCGCGATGGAAAGAAGAGAGAGCGCGAAATCAGCCGACATCCCGGCGTCTGCGGCGCTTGCGGGCAGATAGGAGAGAACTGCGTTGCATTATAAATGAAAGCGGCGGCCATGGCTTGCTATGAGGGACTTACGTGTAGAGGAACCCAGGAAAGTGACGAACCCAGAGACAGCATAGACAGCAAATGGCAATGATCTGAAAGCCTGGAGTTCGACCAATCCTCCGCTGGTAGACACAGGCGCAAGGCGACGCCTTAGCGTCTTGAAGAAATCGTTAGCAGATCGAACGGAATAATCACGCTGTTCGAAATTTACCAGATTTGACACGATCAATGCGCCAAATATTATGCCGGCCATGATACGTACGGTCCACGCGAAGCTTCACAGGCTAAAGTCAGCTGCAATACTGTTGACAGTGTTCAATGGAATAGAGACCTCGTTCTCATGATCAGGGTCCTGAAGACCAATGGTTGTAGTGTGCCTCCGACGGACGAACCCACGGCAACCAGACCCAAGGCCGTTGCGCGGCGCTTGCTGAACCATTGGGACACGCAGCTAAGCGTGGGACCGAAGATGCATCCGCATGACAGCTGAACGAGAAGAACAAGATTTTAGCTCAGCGGATCGGCATGGAAGGCACCAAGCACATGCTTACTCCGATGGCAACTCCCTGGCACAAGACGAGCTGCCAGTATGTGCGACATTCCCCTATCAGGAGCACCGCCGCCACGAGGACCAAACTGGCGGAGAATTGGACTATTTTGAAGTAGCCGAGATCGAATAGGCGACCCGCAGCGAGTCCCGGAAGGAACATTAGCGCGTACTGTGGCATCAATCATCAACGGGCGGTTGCGCTACCATGGCACGTAGATCGATACCTGAATGGAGCCTATCCAGGCGCTATAAGGAGAGCGTGAACACGTGATCATTCATTATTTTGGCGGCGGTCGCTCACATGTCGGATTCTGGAACATCTCGAAGATGTACATGTCCATAGTAAGTCTGAAAAGCCTGCAGGTGATATCGGCGATTATCACGCCAGCGAATAGCAAGGCAAACGTACACCCCACGAATTGATGAGGCCCTGGCGATTGATAGGGGTCAAACATATGTTAGCTGTGTGGCGTCAGACGTATACCGACGACCACTGACGAATCTGTGGAGAATGAGCAAACCTATTCTTAGTATCATGACGCGAGTATAACTCACGTAGCGAAAAAATTGCATAGCCCCTATTTCGGATTGTGAGATGTGGCGAATGCAATTGGGGGGGATCAACGTACGCCCAGAACGACGAGCCATGCTCTCAGACCGCCATCGGGTGGCTCATTCGCCTCGACCAAGAGGGAGGGGTCAGAGGAGTGTTCATTCTTGCAAACCTCGCAGTCAGGGGCAAGGGTGAGTGTGGATGTCTGGGAGTGTGAGGAGGACTCCAAATCCTTCTCCATAACGTCCAACATGACGATGGAGGAGGTCGAAAGTGGAAAGTGGGGGGAGGCGGGAGTGATAGAAATTCAGTGGCTTGCCCCTCGCTTTTTAGCCATCGTACGAATTGGGATGGTAACTCCCGACCTCGACCCGGCAATCATGCCAGGAGCCGCTAAGAGGTCGCCCAGGCATGGGGTTCCAGAAGAGAAAAGGCCCCTCTTCGGTCAAGAAGCAACACGAAATTCATCGACGGGAAAACGAGGAGCGTCGTCGTTCGTAGGCGGCGTTTGCATCACAGCTCGGCGATCCAATATGCCGCGCCGGAACTTATCGACGGTGGGTCCCAGGATAGTAGCCGAGAGGACTGATGAGAGGATCGCCACGAGTTGTTCGGCGGTGGAGGGTGGCAGGGACCCGAACCAAGCCTGAACCCCCCACTTCCACGGGGAAGAGCGCTGCGGGAGCCGTCGGTGAACTGACTCTGCTTGGAGTAAATGAGTTCGCATCGTGCGTACACGCGCGCAGCGGCTGACTAAGCACAAAAGTGTCCGCGGTGGGCAAGAGAGGAACGCCCGTGCGGGTAAGCCCGTTCTCGTGCAGCGTGGATCTTTTTCATCGTATCCAATTGATCGGTATAAACGGCGAATACTATGCGGCACACGCTGAGAGTAGCAAGACGCGAAGCCTAGACCGATTAGCCTACGACGACCGGTGAACCCGAAAGACACCGAGTAAATGCCCCCACCGCCGGCCGTCGGTCGAGACGCACGCCACCACCGCCGCATTTTCGTTGTCTGCATTTCAGATGCTCGTATGGCAGCCTATTGCAGCACTGGCTGGAGCGGAGGAGCGGTGCAGTCACCGAAGACGTTCGCGAACGTGATTTGATGAGTCAAGAACGCCATTGGATAATAACGAGGTGCTCGTAACCGTAGCAGAGGGAGAGGATGATAGAGAGAGAGAGAAAGAGGAAGAACAAGAGCCAGCAAAGCGTCAAGTCTTAAGTATAGAGGAGTTCGACAGATGCGCCTTACAGAAGAGGTCCGAAGTGGCCGGAGGAGCGACGGTGGCTAGACAGCGCCGGGAACACGTGCTCCTCTCGAAGTAGCAATCCTCCACGCCATCCGCCCGTAGCGGAACGCGCCACGCAGGAGACTGCTCTCGTCAGAGCCACATAGCCGGGAAAAATGATAGGGACTGTGCCCCTTTGAACAGCAATCATCGCGCTCTTTGTGCCTCCGCACTGACCCGCAGAGTCAAAGGAGGAAAGACTTGAGAAATTGCTGGGAAAAGGCGCAGCCTGAGAGACGAAAGGCGATAGTGCCATTCTGTATGTCGTGGCGTGTCCGGAATGGAGAGCATTGCGACCCCTCGTAGATTCTCGTACCCGCTTGGCAGTGGTCGTCTCCGTCTGCGGGCTGCACTGCGGTCGCTATGCGGGCATAGACAATCGCGCATCGCGACCAGACGCGGCAAGCGTATGAGGGTTGGAGTAAACAGCGCGACTGGTCCGGAGATACGTCATTTCGGGTTTGATGGTCGACGTTTCGTGTTTGTCAAGCAGGGAAAAACGTGTCGCACTCCTCGGGGCGAAGTCGAAGCATCGCGAGGCTCTTCCTCCCGCAGGGGCGCGTCGCCTCGGATCATGCCATAAGACGAACCCCAAATGCTTCGGTGAGACTCGTACGCCCCTGTGCGAACTTCTTCCACACGTGGCGCGCGTCCGCAGCCGCATATCAAGCCCTGCGCTTGCATCGTAGTCGGTCCTTCGGGCCATGGATGGTATGTGGTCGGAGGCGTCATGGGTCGCAATTGAGTGGCTGGGAGCGCGCGGTAGACAATGGCGAAGCGCCCAGCGCCATTATATGGTGGACCCGAAAGGGAGGAATCCGACAGGAGTCGGAGGATTATGTGCCAGTGAAACACGTAGTCCGGTCCGCGAGCCCTTTGTGGGGCGATAGGCATACGGAGTGCTGACCATTCCGTCGCGGCTGGATTGGCTACCGCGCACGAAAGAGGTTTAGGCTAAGCGCACACGCATACGAGAAAGGTAGTTGGCTCACGCGGATAATGGGCAGTCGAGTTGGACAGCCAGCTTCCCAATTGTCAAAGACGTGGTGGCGGTCGACCGCCATGGTAAGTGCATCAGACAGATATTAATCCAAACGAGTCTCGTTTTCATGTTGCGGAGGTTGCCCAAATGCAGATGAAGGGCCAAGTGCCCCGAAACGCCGCGCAAGACGGGAGCTGGCCAAATCGAAGGCTGTGTGGCCGAGGTTTGTTGCGTTTCCCGGGGACTGCGAGGGTGCAAAGCTCAAAGTCGGGAGGATAAAAGGGCCTGTATGAACATGCAAATCTTTAGTCTGGTAAAGGCTGTTTTCGAAACGACATACCTCCGTTGTCTTCTCCCTCTCCCTCTCTCTCTCAGCGTATCGCTCGGTCATGGATATCGTCCCGCTTTTGCCGTCCATCTTTCACTTCGTCCGACTGGCAATGTCGGTAGTGCAGCCCTCTGACGCTGATCACCACGACCGATGCGAGCCGCCCTCGCTCGAAGATTTCGACATCGACCCGACCACCGGCTTCTTCCCTCCACAGCCTCTTCCGAGGTTACGGGGCGCGTTCTCTATCTGGGAGGACGCTCTCGACGACGCGAAGATAGTGCTCCGACTGAACACCGGCGCCACAACGTCCGTCGAATCGTCGACCAGTCAGGACGCCGGCCACGTGTGGCGAAACAAGGTCCGTCAGGTAAGACGCGTTTCGTCGCCTTCCGAAGACGTCATGCATTTCTCATCCGTCGTCGCAGTGGCCAGTGTTGTCCATCGACGCCGGGCGGACAGACCTTCGGTTCCTGCAGCGCGCGCACATGGTCCTCGCGTTCGTGATGCACTTCTACGTGCACTCCGCCGATCCGTCCGCAGCCCCGGTCGTCCCGAGATCTATCGCCGTTCCCCTCGTCAGCATCTCGAATGCGCTCGGCACCGCGCCCGTGCTCACCTACGCCGACACCGTCCTCTGGAACGCGCGCCCGATCGACGCCGACCTCCCGCTTTCCTGCGACAACATCGAATTCGAGCACCTTTTCTCCGGCACGCCCGACGAGCACGCGTTCTACATGGCCTCCGCCCGCGTCGAGCTGCTCGGCGTCCACGCGCTGCACATCATCCACCGGCACCACCACCTCCTCGCCTCTTCCTCCCCCTCCTCCTCCTCTTCCTCCTCGCTCGCCTCCGACCTCGAGCAGCTCGTGAGCGTGATCGACGCGCTCTCGGACGCGATCGCGGCCGTGCGCTCCGAGTGCGACCCGCACGTGTTCTACCACGCGATCCGTCCCTGGTTCTGCGGGAGCGACGCGCGGGGGCCGGGGGGGTGGGCGCTCGAGGGCGCCCCCGAGGCGCGCCTGCTGAGCGGGCCGTCGGGCGGGCAGAGCGCGCTCGTGCACGCGCTCGACGCGTTCCTCGACGTCGACCACGCGCTGGCGCGCTCGGCGGGGCGCGCGCCGGCGCCGTCCGCGGCGAACGCGCGCGCGGACCTCGGGTTCATGGCGCGCATGCGGCTGTACATGCCCGCGCGGCACCGGGCGTACCTGCAGGAGGCGGTGGAGCCCGTGAGGGAGCGCGCGAGGAGGGAGGGGGGGGAGGAGGCGCGGGAGGCGTATAACGCCGCGGTCGGCGCGCTGAGGAGGCTCCGGGACGGGCATATACGCGTCGCGTGCCTGTATATCGTGGCGGTGCCGCAGGCGGCGGCGAGGGCGTGCCCGGTGATGGCTAGGTTGGCGGCGCAGGAGGAGGCGGGGGAGACGAAGACGAAGGCGCCTGCGAGGGGTACCGGCGGGCTGGCGGTCGCGCTGCAGCTCAAGGCGGGGCGCGACGCGACGAGGAGAGCGGCGCTTTAGCGGCGTGCGTTTTTGCGGCAGGGGCAAAGAAAAGAGGCTGCCCAGGAGGCGGTTGTTTATTCGTTATTTTTTTTTAAACTTGTCAGCAGCTTAGAGAGCTTCTCCCCTTTAATCCCGCCAGAGTACTAATGTAGCATTAGCGCGTAGTGATGATCCCTCGCAGTAGTCATATAGTCGGTCGTGTTGTCAGCGTTCCTCATCCTCTTCTGTATTCCCGTTTTCGCCGTAATCTTTGTGCGATCCGATAATCCGGTTGTGAAACTCCGAGCCCCCTTGGCGCTGGCGCTCCATCTCCAGAGTCGTCGCAGTAGTAGCGTAAGCAAACGATCAATGCGAATCGATGATACAATGCAGTCGAAGGAGCGCGCGCGCGCATGCGCAGTCGAGTCGTGGCTCGTGGCAAGACCGCCGTCGCCAGGAGGTGAAACGCGCGCGAGATGGCCAATACAAAGACTGATGAACGGGCGGCGGGAGGGATCAAGATAGAAGGCGTATCGTAAGCGTCAGAGCGAAGCCCCCATTTCAAGGTCAAGAGGCGACGGGGGGGTTCCAGAGGGTCGTTTAAAGCGGACGTTTGAGGACGACGGGGAGGGGGACGGAGGCAGAAGGTGATGGGATATGTAATCGGCGGATCGCCGTGCAGGCCGGAGGATGACACCTCGGCGTGCTTGCGTGAGCACGGTTTCTGCGGGCGTGTCACCTCCTGGAATGCTGTGAGCCGACGACGCGAGGCCTGTGTGGGACGTCGCCGACGCTACGGCCTGGTGCGATGCGCGGCCGGATCGTAGATGGATCACTGAGCGCGACGGATATGGCGACATTGGGCGGGAGAAGGGGAAGGCAAGTGCGGAGTGTCCGGATCCGATGTACACGGCGGGAGGTACAAGCTCAAACAACAAAATACACCGGACGGGAGTCGAACCCGTGCCGCTTGCTATGAGCTGATTGATCAAAGTGGAAGGCAAGCATGATACCGTTTCACCACCGGTGTGTTGGGAGGTCGCATGGGCTATTATATCTAAAGGGAAGCAAAAGTAAGCAATTTGTGACTCAATGACGTTTGTGGCCTGCCACGCCCAGCTTGCTCACTAACGTCGGCGAACAGGCGGTCCCATCTTCACGTACCATCCTTCCTCGTCCTTGCTCTCCTGGGACTCTACGCTCCACCCCTCGGTGCTCGCGCTTCGCAAACAGAAATGGCGTCGCTGTACTACGAGTTCTACCGCGGATCGTCGTATGTCGTTCCGCCTCCCCCTTCGTCGTTCGGCCGTGCGCTGAACCGAACGGGCTCGGTCTCTTCGCAAGGATCGGGATGGCGCTGACGGACGCGCTGGACGAGCTGATCACGAGCGGGGCGATCACGCCGCAGCTGGCGATGAAGGTGCTGAACCAGGTCCGTCTTTTCGTCTCGCGTTCACACCTACTGCGTCGACGGGACCGGTTTGCTCACGAGAGTTCGACCGACCACGTCAGTTTGACAAGTCCCTGGCGGACACGATGGTGAAGCAGGTCAAGACGAAGACGACGCTCAAGGCTCGTATTCAAACCCCTTTGTTCCTCTGCGTTGGCGCCCGGACCTGACGATGACCTCTTCCACCGTTTTCTCTCTCTCTCTCTTACTCGTGCGTTGTGCTCGTGCCCGTTCTCCTCGGTTATGCTCCGTCCAGGCGCACTTGAAGACCTACCGCCTCTGCGACGACGTGTGGACGTTCAGCTTGCGCAACGCCCAGTTCAAGATGGAGTCGAACGAGATGGTGAACACGCCGAAGATCAAGATCGTCGCGTGCAAGAACGGCGACGCGGTCGACCCCGGCAAGAAGTGAAGTAATCGTTCACCGCTCGAACGTTGTGGGGTGGGGAAGGGGCGCCGGGGTGGGGTGGGGTGGGGTGGGGGGGGGGGGTTTCGAAGACTGCCATAGAGCTCTTTTCTAATGGTTGAACTCCCGTTGGACGTTGTGGTTGTCTGCCGTAGAGGGTACCGTCGTGGGTCGCAGCTCTCTCCTTCTCAGGCTGTTACGATGTGGATGTCATGCAAGTTTGTATATTATTGACTACCATGTATCTTTGTACCTTCGCATATCAATAAACGCTTGAATAGCGAAGCTGAAGGAAACGATTGCGGGCTGCGCATATACCCATCCTGTCACTTGACCTGCGCTGACCGTCGTTCATCACCGGCCTCGTTCCTCACACCCTCACGTCCTCCGTCTGCTTGCAGTTGCTCGCCGCCTATATAATCTCCCTCTACTGACCGTACCTCTTTGCGGCCCCGGTTCTGTAACCTACGAGGAGTCACTAGCAGCGGATCCCAGAATCTCGTCTGACTCAGCGCCACTCGCTCCGCCTTCCTTCGCCGAATAAAAAGCTTAGACGGGCGCTCTGCAGCACACCGCGGTTCCTCTCCTCCGGCTTTTGTCTTTGTTTTTATGACCACGACCGCCGCGACGACGCCCGCCACAGCATCCACATCCGGACCCAGCGCAGAACCCGCTCACACTCCAAATCAGGGTCAGCCCCGCAACCCGAGCGCGCCGTCGAGGGACCGCCGACACGGCCAAGGTAGTCGCCGCCGACCGCCTCGGAACGATGGAAGCGGCGCGTCGAACGTGAACGTGAACGTGAACGCCGGCGGAGGACCGGCTCACCATCCGCAAACGGCGAGGGGCGGAAGACGCGGAGGAGGCAGAGCGCGCGGGGGAGGAGGAGGAGGAGGAGGAGGAGGGGGCGGGGGTCAGGGGCGCGGCGCGCCCGATGGGTCCGGGTCGCCCAGCGCCGGCGAGCGCTCGCACCCCCCCGGCGATCACCAGAGCTGGCGAGACAGATCCGCGCGGCCCGCGAGGACGACGGACGGTCAACAGCCCCGCCGCGGCGGGCATCGCGCCGCCCGGTTCAACGCCTCCCTGACGACTCAACCCGCCCCTCAAGGATCCCGAGCCGCCAACGACGATGACGACGAGCCGGCAAAGCCGCCCGCGCCGGACCGCTACGCGCTCCCCGCCGCGCCCGAAGCCGACGACCTCACCTCGCGCCTGACGCGCGCCCTGCGCACGCCGCCCTACCCGGACTGCCCGATCTGCTTCAACCCGATCCACCCCGCGCAGCCGATCTGGTCGTGCTCGCCCTCCGCCTCCCTCCCCGCTTCTTCTTCCCTCGACGACACCGGCCCGGGAGGAGAGGCCGGGGGGAGCGGGGCGCGGTGCTGCTGGACGACGTTCCACCTCAAGTGCATCCGCGCGTGGGCGGACAAGAGCGTGAAGGACGTCGCGAACGCGTGGCGCGCCCGGGGGGAGAGCAGGCCCGGCGATTGGCGATGCCCCGGATGCCAGTCGAAGCGGCTCGCGGTGCCCGTCTCGTACTGGTAAGTTCCGACGATCTGGGTCATTCTGCCCCCCCCCCTCCCCCTCTCTCGCTCCCTCTTTGATATCCATGCGCCCTTTTGTTTCGTGTGTGATATATCGTTCCTTTTTGTTTTTTTGCTAACGATGGGGTCCAACGATCAGGTGTTTCTGCGGCTCGACGCCCGACCCGAAACCGCTCCGGCTGGCGACGCCGCACTCGTGCGCGAACCCTTGTTCCCGCGCGCGCGCGTGCGGCCACCCCTGCGCGCTCTCGTGCCACCCCGGGCCGTGCCCACCGTGCCAAGTCACGACGCAGTTGCCGTGCTACTGCACCAAGCAGGCACTCTCCTACCGCTGCGCGAACCTGACCCCGTCCACCAAGAAGAGCATCGACGCCGGCGCGGCCGACCTCTCGTGCGGACAGACCTGTGGAAAACCGCTGGCGTGCGGAAACCACGCGTGTGAGAGGAAGTGCCATCCCGGACAGTGCGGGAAGTGCGAGGTGAAGGAGGTGGCGAGGTGTTATTGCGGGAAGGAGGAGAGGGAGATTCCGTGTGGCGAGGGCGTGGAGAGGGAGTGCGCGACGGAGGTGGAGCGGTGGGTTGGGAGATTCGAGTGCGGCAATACATGCGATCGGTAAGTCGTACCTCTCTCGGATGCCTCAATTCGGTGCTTGTTAAACTGATCGTTGAATCTATCGCTCAGATTGTTCGACTGCGGCATTCACCGCTGTTTGAAGCCATGTCACCCGCCGTCGCCGACCTTCTCTCCCTGTCCACTCTCTCCAGCTCTCAACACGCACTGTCCGTGCGGAAAACATGCCCTTACTCCCAACTCCATCGACTTCTTCCCACCGTCCACGAAGCTCCCCCGCACCGCCTGCACGGATCCCCTCCCCACCTGCACCTCGCTCTGCCTCAAGCCCCTCTCCAGCTGTTCGCACGTCTGCTCCTCACCGTGCCACACGGGTCCGTGCCCACCATGCACGATCATGGTCGTACGCCCATGCCGATGCGGCGCGACAACCAGGGACGTCCGGTGCTCCGACATCCAGTCATCCTCCGGCGAGATCGAGGTCCTATGCGACAAGCCGTGCTCCGCGCTCCGCGCCTGCGGCCGGCACCAATGCAACCGGCTCTGCTGCCCGCTCGCGGGCCTCTCCGGGCCCAAAGGCAAAGGCAAGAAACGCGCCGCCGCCGAGCCCGAGGACGAGGGCGGGCTGCACGCGTGCGACCTCCTCTGCAACAAGCCGCTCGCGTGCGGGAACCACCGGTGCGAGGAGCGCGATCACCGCGGGGCGTGCCCGCCGTGCCTCCGGAGCTCGTTCGACGAGGTGCGCTGCGCGTGCGGCCGGACGGTGTACGAGCCGCCGGTCGCGTGCGGGACGCGCGTGCGCTGCGCGTACCCGTGCGCGCGCGCGCCGCCTCCCTGCGGCCACGGGCGCACGCCGCACGCGTGCCACGGCGACGACGCGCCGTGCCCGCCGTGCCCGTATTTGACCAGCAAGCGCTGCGCGTGCGGGAAGGCGACGGTGGGGAACGTCAAGTGCGCCCAGGCGAGCGAGAAGGTGTCGTGCGGCGCCGCGTGCGGGCGCTTGCTCGGCTGCGGGTACCACAAGTGCGCGCGGACGTGCCACGCGGGCGAGTGCGGGGCGTGCACGGCGGCGTGCGGCAAGGCGCGGAAGCTTTGGTACGTTCGCCGATAGGATTATAGCGTCGGCGCTGACTCACGACGCTGCCCGGAAACTTTTTTTTTTTTTTTTTTTGTTGCTTTCAGTCTCCCTGCGCACCATTCGTGCACGCAGCCGTGCCACGCCCCCGCGTCGTGCGACGAGAGCGAGCCGTGCCAGACGTCGATCACGATCACCTGCCCGTGCGGACGCATCCGGCAGGCCATCCAGTGCGGCCGGAGCACGGCCAACCCGGCGGGCCGCGAGTCGTCGGTGCAGATCAAGTGCTCGAACGAGTGCGCGATCGCGAAGCGGAACGCGCGCCTGGCGGAGGCGCTCGGCATCTCGTCGAGCGAGGCGAAGAGCGTGACGTACCCCAAAGAGCTCGTCGCGTTCGCGAAGGCCAACCCGGGCTTTCTGAGCATCGTGGAGAAGGCGTTTTCCGAGTAAGTTGCCTCTCTCCATCGAAGCGTGTGTGTGGGTTCTCGTGCCGCCTTGACCGAACTGACGCCCCCCCTTTACCCCGTATCGCGCAGTTTCGTCGCCTCGGAGAAGAAGACGCAGGTGCTGCCGCACATGCCGCCCGACCGCCGCAAGTTCGTGCACGACCTCGCGGCCGTCTACCGCATGGACACGCAGATGGTCGACCAGGAGCCGCGGCGCAGCGTGCAGCTCATCCGGCGCGTCGACACCCGCGTCCCGACGCCGGTCCTCTCCGCGGCGCTCCCTTCGTCCAAGGTCGCGCCGGCGCCCGCCCCCGCCCTGGGACGCCTCACCGACCTGCGCAATCTCAAGAAGCCGTCGGCGCCTGCTGCTGCTGCCCCCGCCCCAGCCCCTCGGCCGGCGTCGGTCGGTCGGGGATGGACGTCGGTGGTGGCGCGGCCGACGCCGGTGGCGGTATCGAGCGCGCCGCCGCACACGGCCGCCTCGAGCGGGCAGCGTAGTCAGCGGCCGGACGGCGCGGCAGCGCGCGCCGTCGTCGGTACAGGCCAGCCAGCGTCGGAAGAACATATACCGGACAGCTGGGAGGATGAGTCCTAAAAACAAGTCAGTAGTAACGGAGATGATCTCCAGGGAAGGCGTGTGCATAGAGAGGACTGCGTTGCGTTTACATACAACTCGCTCATAATAGGACGCAGTCGGAGGTGTACTTGACACTCGGTAATAGCACGTATCTATTAACTGCCCACTGCCCGTTCCCGCCGACGGAACCAGCCCTCAGGGAGGGTGATTCAGCGTATCACGTGTGGTGGGTGATATGATGCGCATCGCTGTCGGCCTTTGGTTGATACGATCGCCAACTGCTGATTGACTGCTGATGAGCGTCCGTTTATTCAGGCGACCATCAACCTTGGCCTCCCTTCTATGCACGAGGACTTTGACAAGGATGCGCCGTACCTGTGACAAAGGCACTCAGCTCAGCAGCTATACCGGTCCATAATGTTTTTTGCTGCGAACGAGGTGCCCGAGGGTAAAACCGCGCGGCTATTCCGAGGCCGAATAATAATCAGGAGGCAACCGACTGAATTGATGACGCCCCGAGTAACGGCGATCAACGCATCCGGCGGAACTGTCGATCCCCCCCTCGTACTGTACCGCCTTCGCCGATCCCACCGTGTTGCTGCGAACCGGCGAACGAAGGCGCACGCCGTCCCAGATTCGTCCCAGGAGCCTGGAGCGGCGTGAGCCGGCACCGCAGCGACCGCCACTCGTGGGCCTCCCCCTCTCCTATAGAGATTGCCGTGGGCCGCCTGTGCTCGCTGTCTCTTTCTCCTGGCCCCAGCGGTCATCAGTCTAGACTAGACCGTCCGCTCGCTCCGTTCTCTTCGACTTTTTGTTTTCGCGATCCCTGGCTTTTCTCCTCTCATCTCACTCTGTATTCTGACGAACTCGACACTCCTGAGAGGCACCGGTGCCCACTCCCCTCCCCCCCCTTCATCGACACGCAAGAGCATCGATAAGCTATGGCTGCGCTGCCCATAACTCGGTTCCCTGGATATGGTTATACGTTCGAGTACCCTCCCCCCGACGAGGCGGCGATGCGAAAGGGAGAGGTTCAGGATAAGAAGCAGGATAAGAAGCAGAAGGAGGCCTCGGGCAGCTTGCGTCCCAAGGGTCTTCGGCGAATGTTCAGGAAGGCGTCATCCAGCATGCTCGACATCGACACCTCAGTCCAGAAAGACTTTGCTGGCGTGAGCCCCGCATCGTCGACGTCCGGTGGGTCGGACGGTGCACGCGATCGCGCCGAGATCATGCGCAGAAGGCAGGGATACCTCGGAGCGTACCCCAGAAAGAACTCCGCGGGTAGTTCGGTGTGAGTGGTCTTCACAAGGCGCATCCTTTCGCATCGTCCCTGTTCACTCACCGCGAGAGCACAGATCTTTCGAGTGGCCGGACGAGACTATCATACGATCTGTGACGCCAGATCTCTTTCGCTCCGCTACACCGGACAGCTCCGCGTCCTCGGGGCGACTCGAGCCCTTGCGGCTGATAGTCCCCACCGAGCCTGCGCGACCCCGCGTCGCGCTCACCGTCGGCATAAGCCCCGGTCCCCCGCCTCCGCCTCCGCCCCGCGCGCACAGTCTCCCCACCACCGATGCGCAGCCCAAGCCCTCTCCGCGCCCGCGCCCGCTGCTGCCCCTCGTCGTCCCGCCGCGCAACTCGTCCCTGCCCTCCGTCCTAGCCCACCACTCGCGCGCGGGCTCCACCGCCTCTTCCTCCACGCTCGTCAGCGTCGCCTCCGACGACCGTGACGCCTGGCCGACGCGCTCGTTCGCGGACCTCCAGCAGATCTCGCGGACCCCTTCTTCTTCGCGGCCCTCGTCGCCGACCACCGACCGCCCGCGGCGGCCCCCGCACATCGACACGGCGGATCTCGAGAAGAAGAAACCCCTCGCCGCCGCCGCCGCCGTCCCGTCCTTCTGGCGCGCCGCCAACTCGCCCGGGCTGCCGCACACCCCCGGCAGCGCGACCTCGACCTCGACCTCGACCCCGATCCTCTCCGTCGTCCCGCCCACGCCGACCGTGCCGCCCGCCTCCGCCTCCTCCGCCGCCTCCGCCTCCTCCTTCACCTACCCGCGGCCCCTCCCGCCAAAGCCGACCTCGCCCGAGCCCCGATCCGCGCGCGCCCCGCTGCCCGCCGGCCCGCACCCGCGCTCGCGCACCCCGTCCCCGGCCCCGGCCGCGCGCCCGACGACGACCGGCCCGCTCTACTCGCTCCCGAACAAGTCGCTGCCGCTCCTCGGAAGCGGAAGCGGAAGCGAGCGAGAGACGCCGCTGCGCTCGCCGGCGCCCTTCGACAACTTTCACGACATCGCCGTGCCGATCGTCCTGGACGTGTCGCCCGCCACGCTCGCGCGGCCGCGGTCCCGGTCCCGCTCACCTTCGCCTGCACCCACGTCGAGGAGGAGGTCGCCGTCTCCGGCTCCTACGTCCCGGTCGCCTTCGCCCGCTCCGTCGTCGATCGCGCCGGCTCGGCTCTACACCCACCTGAACCGCTCCGCCTCTCCGCTCGCCGACTCCCCCGACTCGCTGCTGTCGGACGCGACCAGCCCCGGCTCGTCGCTGCTGTCCAACAGCCCGGTGCTCACGCTCGGCGGCGCGATATGGGGGCGCGCCGAGCCGGCGGTAGGGCAGGGGCAGGGGCAGGAGAAGGAGAGGGGGAAGACGGAGCGGGGGCGCGAGGACGACGACGTCCAGATCTCGGTGCTCGATACCGAGAGCGGCCAGTGGGTGCAGCTCGACGTGCGCGAGGCGATCCCCATGCTCAGGGCGCTCAAGCGCGGGAACGGGCTGTGGTGAAACGTCCTTTTAACCCTCGCATCCCCTCCGAATACGATTTTTTTTTTTTACGAGGCGCTGTTACCATCTGTTGCATGTTCACGAACCCACGGACCCCGGTGAACTGACTGTCGTGTGCTTGTATTACCGTGTACCACAACCAAAGAAAAAAAAACAAAGACGCTTACGGACGAACGCGTACTGTACCTCGACTCGACAAGTAATCGCATCTAATATCATATCATTGCACATATCGTATCGCCCAGTGGATCTTCCAACACGGTCGACGCGCGGCCTCACGCTAGGACCCCGATGCGCGAGCGGGCACGTCCTCCAACGCATCGCGCACGCCGCGCCTCCACACGCCCATCTCCTTCTCCAGCCTGGCCACCCACTCCCTCACCTCGCCCCCGACCTCGCCCCCCGCGTTCCGCCCCCCGAACCCGATCCGGAGCTCCTCCAGCGCGCGCAGGAGCGTGCCGTGCGCGAGGCGCAGGCGCGGCGGCCCGTGCGGCGGGAACGCGTCCTCCGCCGACGGGGGCGGCTGGGGCTCGTCCGCGGCGAGCAGCTTGCCCAGCTCGGCGAGCGCGACGGCGCGCACGGGGTGGCCCGCGCGCAGCACCGCCTCGAGCCCGGCGCACGTCCGCGCGGCGACGCGCACCGTCTCGTCCAGCTTCTCCTGCGCCTCGCTCGGGCTGCCGGAGCCGGAGCCGGAGCCGGAGAGCGCGTCGATGAGGAGCGCCTGGTGCAGCCGCGCGAGGGCGAGGAGCGGGTGCGCGCCGGGCGCGAGGCCGTGCGAGAGAAGGAGGGGGAGCGTGTTCGACGTCAGGTGCAGCGCGCGGGAGGGATCTGGAGGGGCGGAAGGGAGGGAGGGAGAAGGACGCGCAGATGGTCAGTGCGATGTCGGGAGAGGTGTGGGGGAAGTTACCGCACCGGAGAACTGCAGGGACGTCGCTTTGTCGAGCGCCTCCTGGCCGACGCGGATGGCGTCCGCGATCGCGCCGGTGGACGGGAAGGCCGCTTTGCACTTGAGGCAGCGGGGCAGCGGGACCGCTGTGGATCGCATCAAGGGGTTCAGCGTTCGTTGGCGCGACACGAAAGAGGGTGAAGTTGGGGAGGGTGGGGGGGGGGGGTTGTTCACGTACCTTCGGTCGGGAATGAGCACGTCCCGCCGCATCGCTTCGGACACCAGATCGATTCGCGTGGGTCCGGGTCTTCAGCCGCGCAGAGAGAGCAAGAGCAGGTAAAGTGGTACGTGTCCCGCAGTATCTTCTGGCGTTGCTCGCGCGGGACGGTCGTGTCGATGTACGCCGTCGTGACCTGATTTTTTTTGTTTGGTTCGACGCGCCCAATGATATCTCGTCAGCTGTGGTGCTCGCATCGCGGGTAACGAGCATAGGACTCCACCCCTTTTTTTTCTTACCTCTTCGTCGGGGTGAATGTCCCGCAGCGCGATGACTTGCATCACCGGCTCTTGGTCGACGGTCTTGGACACGCGCGGGAAGACGACGACGGCGTTCGGGGCGCACGAGTGGTTGACGAGCGCGACGGCGGGCGAGACGGAGACGCCGAGCGGGGTGAGCGAGGGCGCGGCGAGGGTGATCGCGTTCGTCGTGAACTTTGGGCGAGAGAGTCGCGGGGCATCAGGGTTTCCGCGAGAGCACGAGACAGACCGCGAGGCGGGGGGGGGGGGGTGAAGGTGGACGTACGCGTGAGAGTGAGGTCGACGACGTCGCC